TTAAAAGTTGGTATATTTTAGATTAAGGTATCCACTTATTCTAATGATTTTCAAATTATTTGTCTGAATTTCAACTCTTTAATATTTTTGTTAGATTTGAAATGAAAAAAAATAATTGAGAAAATTTTGGTTTTCAAGAAACAAAAATTACTACTTAGAATCTACAAATACTGTACTGATGGTAAGACACTAGTTTGATGAAGATACCATTGCGACTAATGTCTTACCATTATGTGGGAGGTATTTCTGCCACACACTATCTATCGGATCTTCACCACCATTTCAATAGGGAATATTAAGAAAAAAAATGTTGGCTAGTATATTAAATGTTTGAATAACTTCATCCATATTATCCCTGACCAAAATCGAAACAAGCTTCTTTTTGTGTATTTGTTACAAATTCATTGAATTCTTATATCTAGTGCAATGGCTGAAGAGAAAGCCAGTCTTATATCCAATGAAATAAGACTTCATATTTAAGCTTTAAAATTCTGTAACAATATGCCAAATATTCTTAAGCAATAAAAAAAGAACCCCAAAATATATTAGGGCAAGATATTTTTTTGCCTATGTTTATAAACTAAAGGTTAATATAAAAATCTAAAAATTTAAGATCTTTATTTTTTTTTCCAAGTCCTATGTGTTTATGACAAACATAATTCACTTTATAAGAAAAAAAAAAAAAATCTGTAACTTGTTTTCTTTCTACCATTTTTTGATGTGTATTTATCCCCTGCTCCCAATGTAACAAAAAGGTAAAATCTAATGTAGGTAGTTCCAGAAATTGTCCAGTTCTTTCAACACTTCACAATGGATTACCTTTGTCATCATGGACTGACCCTGACTTTATCACTTTTATGGAATGGGGAAGTGAAGCCAGTGGGATGGTTCCTTGAAACTAGATATTGTTTTTTTTTTTTATTTTATTTTAATGATTTGGACCAAAACATCCATCTCTTGATAACAGACTTCTGTCATCATTCAATAAAAGTGACTCAATAATTTTCAGGTGTTCATTTCTCAAAAAAAAAAAAATGTTGAAACTATGTAACTTTGGATAATTGTTATGTTTTATCACTAATCAGCAGACAGGATCATGTACTTATGTAATATCAAGTTTATGGAATGTTAATAAAATTGGAACCTAAAATAAATACAAATCTAAAAAAAAAAAAAAAAAAAAAAAAACTGGTTGGTCAGAGTACAATCTATAGTGACTTATATTTTGGTTTCCAAAATTATTTTTATTATTTTAAACAAGGAAAACATTTCTAAATGGGTAATAAAAGAAAGAATAAACTAAGAATTCAATGATGGGTTAAAGTCATTTAGATTTCAAGTAAAATGCCATGAGAATGTATTCAAAGAGAAATTTCTCTTAAAAATCAGAACAACTTTTTTTAGTGATCAGTTTTGTATTAGTAAGATGACTAATGTTTCTATAATATGCCTACCAATTTAGTCATTTTTCATAGGAATCATTCTTGTTTTATTGAATTCAATTATTTCCTCAATAACCATTACATTTTGATGATACGTTGAAAAGGAAACAACAGATTTATCATTGTAGACATTAATTTTTGATGAGCATTTAATTTCATCTTCATTTTTCTAATTGTAATAAGTAGACAGTGTAGATTGGAAAAACTTAAGCTCAAACTTAACAAGCTTGTTAAAACCAAAGTAAATCATAATCAAAACTGAATAATAATGGCTGACAATGCTTTATCTAATAAAAAAAAGTCAAATAAAAACACTGCTGTTTTCAAAACAGAATACAGTGCTAAAAGCTTATTCTAAGTCAGAAGATCAAATAGAACCCCACTTTAAGTGAACCAGAGAACTTGTGTAAAATTTTAAATGTTTAAATTTTTACTGTTTTATTACATTTATTTGGCATGCTATTAAAAATATTTGAGAATATAAAAAACAAATTAAATGGTAATTATATATATATATATATATATATATATATATATATATATATATATATATATATATTATGGAAATAAAAATGGCAAGACGAGCTTTACCATTCATGATTAAAAGAAAAAAAAAAAAACACTGACCAGCCAACCAGTTTTGCCCTCACTCAACAGAGCTGAAATCGAGAGAAGACTAAATATTGCAATATAAAAACATGAGAAGCATGTGATAAAATAAAAGGTAGAAAGATCAGATGGAAATCATGTCAAGCCCTAACGGGCATTCCCTCTGTTTACAGAGGGAGGGCTGCCTGGGCCTGATATAGATTGTTTCCAATACCTTTAAGTGTAACACAGAATGAGTATGACTAAGGATGGAAAATGAGTCAATGTTGAAATTTGTGGCACAACTTGGATTGTTTATAAGGTGCTCAGCAATGGTGGAGCCGTAAGTGTTCCTGATCTTGTTACCAGATTGGAACGTACCATTCCTAATTCTTCCGTGTATGTGCTGGTTAATCCGTGCATCTAACCGTAAGGTAGTTCTACCTATGTAGTTGGCTTCGCAACTACATCCAAAACAGTATATCACATTATTAATATGGTATGGTAATATGGGAGGCAGAATATTCTTCCGAGTAGACACCCAAGGAGACCTGGTAGAATCAAAACTGTCCACAGGACCTAATTTGATAAATTTTGATGAATCACCCAAAATTGTCATCATTTTATCAACGTAATCACATTAATTGAGTACAACAACTCCTGAACTTTTGTCAGGTCTTGTAATTACTAATGATTTATTCTGATGCAGTGATTTACCGAGTAGTTCTCTGTGCCATTTGAATTCAAAGTATGATATAGGTGTTCTGGCATAACAATGGGCAAGATCATTAAGTCTGGCCTTGAGGTCTCCCTAACTTTATTGTAAGAAACAGGTTTAAGTCTCCATATTTGGGCATTAAGAATTTCAAATTCCAAAAATATTTCTTCATGCCTGACAACAACTGGTGGGAATAAGGAAGTCCAATCCATGACCCAGTATTGTACTTTCAATTGGAGACAACTGGTAGGAAGACAGATTAAGAACATTCCCAACAATATCAGAAACAGCAGAGCAACCAAATTTCTTGTATATTAAATACTGCAACTTGTTGTGGAACTGAGTCGACAGTCTTTTGCAACTTCACCTGTGTACAATTCCAACATACCGTGAAAAAAAAAAAAAAAAAAAAAAATGTATATATACATATACATATGTATGTGTACACACACACACACACACACACACACAATCTTGTTAAACCAATCTGTAAATATACTTAATTTGAAATTAAAATTCAAACTAAGCAAAAGTGAAAATAAATCTTAGCCCTTTAAGCAGCTTGACCAGATTTTTATTTAGATAATTAAAATAAAATAAAAAATCAAAATGAAATATTTTTGCAATATGGCTTCAACATCAGATTTCTCTCAATGATATTTTGATAAAAACATTTTTTTATCACCATAACATTGAAAGAAATGAACAGTAGATACAATTATTAATAACAATATACCCTCCATATCACTCACACAAACCAACAGAGCATCTGTGAAGAAAATATTTATGATACTCGAATCATAAAGGGAATTGTATAAATAATGATTTAATAAATTTTAATTATATGTACGATATAGAATGGTACATGAGGATAAGTCTGTAAGTACTTTTATCTTTGGTTGTATTTAAAGTAAGCATAATTCAAATATAAAGACTGTTAAGAGTGTACAATGAAATGAACCTATTTATACATTTTATTATCCCAACATTTCATTTCTTTAATGTTATTTACCACCCCACCTACTAATCTTCCAAATTGTATTTCTCTGAAGCTGTAGACAATTTATCAATTATCACATTCTGCCTTTCCCTATATACAAAGAAACTCATTTTGTGCATTATCTGTTCATTGGTCATTACAGGTTTTCTCTGACTGCTAGTAATCTGTAGAAAAAAAAAAAAAAATTCCAATCTTAACATCATCTTCTTAATATTTCTTCTATTTTGTAAGTATGTAAATAAAAAAACAATTGCTGAGATGCATGAATGAATGACTTTTGAAAAGTCGATGCTACTAAATATGGAATGTCTCTACTTGCCACTTTTTAAAATAAGCTTAGCTAACTTGGGCTGTTAATGAGAAGAAAGTTAATTTAAGATTTAGTAGCCTCAATGCAGATCAATTAACTACTTGTAACCCAGCCAGGCAATCCTTTTTGTATTTATATTCTTAATCAAATATTGATAACAAAATATGTGGAAATTAAGTGGAGGATCAGTTTTGTTTACAACCATGTAATAAACAGATCTCCCATATTTGCCACAGGAGATTCCATATATTTCTCTACCTTAGAAAACATTCTTGTAATCAAAGTTGCCAGTTTCGGTTACTTTTGAAAGCTCAGTATTATTAAATTTGAATTTTTCTTACTCGTGACTTTTGGGGCCCACTTTTTAGCTGGATTGACTAAGGCTATGAAGGATAAGAAAGTCAATTCAAAATTTAAGTCACATTAGGCTTTCAAATGCAACCCAGTTTGCTACTTGTTAGCTCAATCTGACAAACCTACTTAATTGTCATGCAGTTTTTTTGTTTTTGGCCATTCTACAAACAAAGCCAACCTCCTTGATTGCATACTGCCTTTTTCTATAATTTCTGTGTTTCTAAATAAAACCTAGTCATTAATCCATTAGTCCTGTTTTCCTTCCAAGCAATCAGCATCTTTTGTTTAACTTTATAGCCAATCTATAAACAAAGCCAAAACGTTTCCCTATGAATAAATTCTTGCCTATCAGTTTATGTCTTCTCTGTCCATCTGTCTAAAAATCAAATGAGATCAGTTATTTTCCATCTTTTATTTGCTATGTATAGTAGTTGTTTTCTCTGCCCGTTCAGTAAAAAATAGTGTTGAAGCTGTGTGCCAGCCTTTGCAACCAATCTATTAAAAGCCTGCCTCTTTTACCGTGTCTGGAAACAAAATCAGATCAATGTCGTGTACTGTCCAACCGTCTTCTTACACTGACGCTGAATCCTAGATACTGAGACTCCCCTCAATGGAGCTGAACTCTTCCTCAAGTTTCTGTTGATTACGGAGGTACTCCGAATAGAGAGTCCGTGCCTGGTTGAGCACTTTGTAGACATTGTGCTTGCGTGTCATTTTCTGAAAGTACATGTCAATCTCCTCACATTCCAGCTTTTTGCTCATTATCATGTCCCGGTGTTGCAACAGGATGGTTAAGCAAAGAAACATGAGGAACGGATTCCCAGCACCAAAGTCCTGGGGTGGGGGTAACCTTTGTGAACGGTCCATAGAATTATTCTTTTCAGCAGCAGAGTGGGGCGCTGTCGGGCTTCCCGCAGATGTTGACATTATATTACCAGCCCTGGAGAGAAGGCTGCTGTTGTCGGTAGAAGATGGAGAAGAGTCTGTTGGAAGTGGGGGGAGAGGGGAGGAGCAGGAAGAGGCAGAAGAAGTGGATGTAGAAACAGTAGATGGAGGCAGAGGAAGTGGGGGTACATCTGAAGAGGGTGGGGCTGGCGGAGGAGAACAGGGTAGTGATGGGGGCTCGGGACCATCGGCAGAAGCAGGGGACTCACTGGGCGTAACCATCGGTGAAGACGATGATGATGACATTGACAACCGTTGCTGAGAAGGTGAAGGGGAATTTGGAGATGTCTTAAAGCTGTGAGAATTGGTAATCTTAGCATTTTGGTTCTCCTGCTGATTGCTGGTCTGGGTAGGTGTGGTCGTTTGGCTACCCTCACTGCAATTGGCATCCTCGTATTCTGTGTCATCATCAATTATCTGACCTTCTAATGAAGGCTGACCCGTGCTGATATTTGTAGATATATTTCCCAAGGATAATGGCACCGGTTTAGGTTTTTGCTTTATTTTCTTCATTTCCATGGCTGGTGAATAATTGGCAGCCAATGGTGACTTAGGGGTTTGGGATTTGTGTGCCATGCTATTTGCCCTTTCACCTGCATCGATAGAAAGTTGGAAGTGTGTCTCTTCATCGTCGTCCTTCAAAAAGGTCATTGCCTCATGACAAGAATCCAGAGTGTTACCGTTATCAAGGTGCATATCAATGCAATTCTCCACCACAGGTGTGTTCTCATCACTATTATGGTGCACAATAATTGGTGGAGGGGAACTGCACAAAGACTTGTCAATGCTAGAGGACCTAGCCTGCATCATTTTGGCAGTGGCATCCTCCATTGCTGGAAAGTCTATACAGGTACAACTCTCTTCCATAGGAGAGATATCATAATTGTTTTTGTTGCCATGGACACGAATAAGGGACTTACTGCTATTGTTATTGGAAGTATTATTGTTGTTAAGGCAGGTTGGAGGCAACCCACCTTTTGTATTGTTTGTCTTCTTACTCTGATCATAATTCAGAGTTTGTGGTGGGTTGCGTCCTGTTGTTGGGCCATTTAGTCGCATGGCAAGAAAATTAGCATAAACATTTTGTGGGAAATTAAGTGTGGGTGATGCTGGGGAAGAGGCAAGTAGATGAGGTGAATAGTGAGGATCTGTGATTTCAAGCTCTTTGATTGGGGGGTCTGGAGGTAAGGTACTCCACATTACCTCTAGCATGTAGAGAGCATCATCGAGCGGAAACTCACGCTTTAATGCCAACAGCAGCCAACGGAAACAGAAGAGGTGGTTGGTACTGCTTTCTTTGAGATACGAGAAAAAGCAGGGATCGTAGACCTGTAGCAGCAAAGAAAGATGCTGCAGTTTAGTCTTCATGGCCTGTCCACTTGGATGGAAATTAGTCCTCATGTGTTTCATGAGACCACAGAAGCAGAGATAGGCATGTGCTTCATCATTCTGAACAACAAGAAGTGGAGATGCAAGATCACTCATGCCTTGACAGTAGGAAATCTCAGGGTGTGTAACTGCATATGTTACAAGGATGTGGAAGAGAGAGACAATATTCTTGCTGTCATCGGATCCTGAATAGAATTTGTATGTGCGGTCTGTACGTAGGACATCTTTCTTCACAACGGAGATGACATTCTTGATTTCATCTGCAGCTGTGTCCTTTACAAGGTGTTCTTTCCACTGATCTCGCACCCGGTAATATTCAAGCTCTTTTTTCTTCAAGTAGTCGTAACGTTCCTTGCCTGACATATTGTCAGGGAAAATGTTGAGTAGATGCCTCCACACCACTTTACGCAGAGATGACTCAATACCGCCTTGGTAAATGCTGAGCCTTAACTCCTGTGGCCGTATCAAGTGACCATCAGGGTCAAGGTAGTTATGGAATTCCATATCTGTCATAGCTGGTTTCAACGGCTTAATACTCTCATCGTCATAAGGTTTTAGACCTAAAAGAAACAAATGAAACAGAAGCTGAAGTTTTTCGTTATATTTGTATACAAGCTTGCATTAATATGAAGTCAGCATTTAACTTTTTTTTTAATCATATCACCCTAAGCAAGGCAATAATGCCACTGCAAGGGGTTACCGACTGTGAAAGAATATGAGAAAAATATTAAGGAGAGAGAACAATAAAAGAATAGGAATTAAGATGACAGAAGATAACGATCAACATTGATCTTCAAAAATTTAAATGCAAAATTGACTGGAAAGCAAGAAACCGGAAGAGTTCGATAAGCAAGGAGTACAATAAAAGAAACTGTTAACATAGAACTTACAGTTGCGTCTAACTATTTCAACTGTAAAATGAGGAGACTTTGCCACCAATCTAGTAATTTGCTTAAATTAGTAAAGTCTAGGTACCATAGAGGAAAATTTATCAGAACACAACATTGAGAAATATGGAGAAAATGAGGAGGCAGGATTTGATTATATGAAGAGTAAGTAACCACCCATGCCATCTCTTTTTCTTAAATAAATAAATAAAAAAAAATGGTGAACATCAAATGTTTCCGTCTATATTTCTGAGATGAGGTATTATGTACATTATTTACATTATTCAGACTATTGTCCTCATCTTTGTCGCCATATTTATTATGTTTTGGCTGTTGTACGCTCCGGCCTTCTTCAGGTGGTTGGAATGTTAAACTGAACCCTTTATTTTGCTCACTGGGGTAGACTGTTCTAGTTCCATGTGCCATGTTTAATGGGTGTCAATTATCGGTTATCTCCTGTTAATTCCCTCACCAAGTTCTACAATGCCATAACCGGGTATTGAACTAACACTTTTTGGGTCCTGGATCTAACAACGCCTTTATCCACTGTGCCATGTGTCCTTGAGGACATCTGTGTATGAATTTCTGTGTATTATAAACTTAATGCCTTCAGCACACAATTTTTTACCACTGCTCATATTGCAATTTTTGTTGTTATTATCGCTTCTCTAGCACTCCTTATTACTGGTTCCCATATTGTATTCATTTCTATGCTTGGTTGGCTCAGGAGATTTTTGTGGCCTAGTATATGTGCTGATTCTTTAAGTTTACAAAATTTCCAATGGTGTTCTTTGTCTATGATCTCAACCTGATCTCACAGAAGGTGGTGATCTCCCTTTTCTCTCCATATATGGTTAGCCATGCCTGATTTTTCCACTTCCCCTTATGTTCTTGAAGCCTTACCTTAATCCAGCATTAATTAGAAGTTTATTAAAAAAAATCCAGTATTATTTATACATTTGTATCTAACTTGTTAATGGTCAGCATCCTATTTGGGGATCGATGCTGATCATCACTGTACCCAGTTTCATTTTTAGTAATCTTGAATTCCTCTCTCGGTAGTGTTATAACAGAGGACAAAAAATATGACACAAAAATCCAAGGATAGACTGGAATAGTGAAAGATGTTTTCCAGAAGCTAAACAAAGTACTAAGAAACAGGAAAATTTAATTAAAAACAAAACTAAAAAAGAGCGATGAACTGCTATGTAATAAGCGTCTTACATGTTGGACAATTTCCTCATAGAATAAAAAAAAAATGAAAAAAAACTGACTTTATGCCACTGATGTAGTTCTACAAAAGGATGTTGAGAATACCATAGACTGAACATGTGAACAATGAGGAAGATTTAAAGAAAATGGGAATGAAAAAGAGTCTTGTGCTTAGGATCAGAAAAAGACAATTGAAGTTTCTGGGACACATAATGAGAAAAGATGGCTTAGGGAATTTGACACTCACATGATATATTGAATGCAAGAAGGAAACAGTGATTAACTTACCAAACAAGATTGTGTACATGTCTGACAGGGTATGCACTGTAAGAGTTTAAGGGAACAAACCTTGCTTAGAACTATGGAGGATAGAAAGTTGGGGAGAGCAATGATTGCCCACATCCTGAAGGGACATGGTACATAGAAGAAGAAGGAAAGAAAAAGAAGGGAAAAAAAACAGCTCACAAATAAAATTCAGTTTTCTAAAGTAAAAATAAATAAGCTGAAATTGCACTTCAACAATAAACAGTCAAGTTGAAAACCTTTCTTAAATTTAAGTCAAACAAAATGAAATTAGTCATGAATCATTGATGATTTCTTCAAAAGCTGACTCTGCTCAAAGATTTGATTAACTTGGTTGGTTTGAAATAATGGAAAGGAGTTTTTACCTATGGCCTTCTGAACCTGAGAGAAAGTACGCTCCATGTGACTTGTAATACTTCCTGTTAAAGTACCAAGAAAGGAGTTCTTTTCAAACATGCTGGCTGCCACTTTCAGCTGGGGAATATCACCAAGAGTAATGATATCCCAATCTTCCAAACCTGGAAGTAGAGAAAGAAAGAGAAAGGTTTTATGGTCACACAAACACTAAATAAACCAACAATTAGATAAAAAAAAAAAGCACATTATATACTTTTAAGAAAAACTAACAATTGAGAAGTTCTTATAAAAATTTCAAAATCAATTACCTATGGTGGGGAGGGCTATTTCTGTATCATATCAAAACGAGTTTCATTCATATTTATCAGGATAAAACTATAAATCTGTATATTTTCTTTCTACTAATATTAAATAGTAATTTAGATTTACAGTTTAAATCAGGATCAGTAACCTTTTGCTAACTATATGGGTTTTTAAATCATTCAATGTGCCAACAGCATATGTATTTTTACACAAGTCAAGGTCAATATACCTGTTCTACAATATATTTTATATAGTAATATATTGTATATATACTTTAGTAGATATTAAAATTGAAACAGCTAAATATCTTCTTTGCATTGTAATAGTTATTGGTTCGGACTTTGTGATGTCATTTGTGGCTGCGTACCATTGGAAATTGCTTGGCATACCACGTGGCACACGTGCTGTAGGTTGCCGACCCCTGGTTTAAATTATAAATTTATAGTTTACTGTCCTTAAATTTATTCAGCTATTATTGCAACAAAATTCATATATTTTGTAGATGGGGTGAAATCTTTTCTAGTTTCAAGTTTAAGCAGACATTTTGTGCCAAGTAATAAACCACACACAATTAAAAAGTTATTATTTTAATATCCATCACAATATGTAAATGTCTTAGAAACATTCTGAGGGTCTTGTATGGGTATATGTGTGGGTATCGATTACACACACACTGAATTTCATCAGGAAAGTTTCCATATATTAATGTAATATTCATCTATAATTTTAATTATAGATGAAAAATAAATCTGATACCAATTTCATTATATCTGGAAAGATGTAAACGAAATTTAAAAAAATAAAAAACAGGGGACGTAACTTGCTTCCCTTGTCGCTTCAAATTCTTTACTTGAAATTTAGTTTGCTTCCCTTAGATCAGATTCCGATGCAACCAATGTAATTTACGATAACCAGAAAACAAGAAAATACATTTTTCCAGCTGTAAGCAAATTGCATAAAACGGAATCTCTCTGCCGCAAAATTATTTCAACCAAATACATTGATTCGACGATATTAAAAGAGGTTTAAAAAAAAAAACTTATAAGCACAAATTACTGCTAAGTAATCCTAGAAATAACCTATTTAAAATTTTAAATCATGGACAAGAGATGTGAAATGAAAAAAATAAAAATAAATAAATAAAAGATATGAACTCAATATTGTTCCCTGTTCCATAACGAGTTACTTGATAGACGATAAGACAAACAGAAACAGGCAAACAAATACCCAGAAATATACCTGCTTAGATATTAACAACAAATGGTTGTTATATCCATTGTTAGTGATGACAAAATCCAAATAAGTTTATTTGGAAACAGTTGAGAAATATTACAATAAAAACATCACACTACAATACATAAACAAACCAACATTCATTTCTGATAATTATTTATTTCATCTTATTTTTGTTGGTTTTTATTGCAACTCAGTTTTTCAGTTAGGCAAATAACATGGATTATAAACAAAATATATGCCTACAGTGAGATCTGAACTCACATCCCTTATCTCTGAGAATCGATCTATCTGTAACTACACCTTAATGATTAGGCTATGAAGGTCAACTAATCAAAGTTATTCAATATGAGTGGCATAGTCATGTTCTTTGCCTCTCCAAATGCTATGCATCACCATCTTTTTGTTTACATTTTTTTTTTTAATGCTCATATAATAGTGTGGCATTTTTTAGCTATGACGATCAATTAATTAATTAGCCATAGAATTAAATGGAAAAATACTGAAAACAGAAAAGTAGGGTTAAAAGATATACGGACAAACATACCAAGAAAACTGAAAGTTTTAATTTTAAGAAAGAAGCTAAAATTCTCAAAAGTGAGAATTGCGAAAAAGATCATTTTTGCGGTAAGGCAATCTGGCAAGTATAAACTAATTAATCACAAGAGCCTGTAGAGATAAAGATTTTACGACCTAGCAAGGAGATGGTCAAGTAAACATGATGCTGGAAACGACAGATTCTCAAGTTATGAAAGTGCAAGTGGTCGAATTGATGGTGATTAATAACGGGCGAAGGGAACTGTTGATTCAGTACATGTGAAATAAGCAGAATCGATGAGGATGCGATCTATCGTTTGAGAGTGCATAAATATTGTGTAAACAGGTAATATGACAGAGGAAATGGCCAGACAAGAGGGCCATATGTTAATTGTAGGAATTTTGGCAGGGCGCAAAAAGGGTTTGCATAAACAAAATTCCAGTTGATAATTCTAAACTGCTCATGATGGGGGAACAGGATAAGAAATCCTGAATAAGCAGAGGTGTCAAAGAGTGAGTTAATGAAGCAAGCTTAACCATGCCAGCACGACTGAGATGTCATGTGGTAGCAGTAGTGATAGGCGAAGGTAAAATAGTAAGAAAGACGGAGAAGTTACTAATGCCCACCAAAAGGAATTGGCGTGAGATACCAATGTGAGGAGGAAGGAGTTTAGGAGGATAGCTATCCTGCAACCTCCCCTCACAAAGGGATCCCCCAGAAATAGGAAGTAATTAGTTTTCCAAAAATGGGAAATAATTAATTTTCCTGGCCAGGCAACAAGGGAAATCAGGGATTCACTGAAAACCTCAGGCTGCATCTAACCCTGCCCCAGGTTTTGAATGAAGTCCATATAAGTTCACCAGTAGTAGTCAGCAGTAGGCATTCATGTTTTGCAGTTGTGGAGAGCTATGAGAGAGTTGACAGAGATTCCACAATTCCTGCAGACGTCTTCGTCTTCCTATAAACAGCAAGTTGCACTGATGAATGAAGCTAAATCAATGCCTAAAAACTAAACCAGTTAACTTTGAAGACTAGAACTTGCCTAGAAGTATAAAAGTGTCACGGGTGGGAAGGAAACACACTCCTGTATGAAACAGACTGATAAAAGCTGATTTGCTTTCTTTAAACATACTCAAACCTTTGTTTTTTATTTATTTCTTTTTACTTGTGCGACATCACCTCCAGTTCAGACTCACCTTGCACGATGGCCACAGTGTCTGATTGATTTTGTCTACTGATGATGAAAATCCCAACATGGGTAGGTTAGACTTGAGATTGAAGCAGTTACTTCGGTAACCAGTCATTAGTAGCAAGCTGGAAATGACGGAGCTGGTGTCAAACCAGTTGCATCTGATGTAAAGTTGTTACATATTCGTGCCGTTAGAATCAACCGACCATCCCATTTGGTATCCTGACCAAAGGATACCACCAGGTAGCGACAACAACCGTTCGACTGGGTCACATATTGGTGGCCATGACTAAGAGTCAGCCCCAGAATGCCCCAGTAAGTGTCACAATAGGAAGTTTATTTCTGGATCATGTTATTTCTGATTTATGTCATTTACTTAATGATCACAATAATGGTTTGAGTAGTTGCAATAAAAGAACTAAAAATTAAGATAAAGAAGTATTAGTCAAATTTAATAGACAATACTTCAACTAAGAAATTTTCCTGGTGATCCTTGTAGCCTAATTGGTAAGGTGCTATCACAGATAGACATGCTCATAAGAATAAGAGATCATTCTTTATTTCTGTTCTATACTGATTGTGGGATGACCATGTGGGAATTGCTATAAAAAGCAAATAAAAATGACATGAAAGAAATACTAGTGAAAAACAGATTTGACTACAAATAATGAATTGGGCTGCATTTAAAAACCTTGCCCTACAAAATTTTGAATTGACTCATTAAAAAGTCTAAATTAGCTCAGCTTTAAAAAGTAGTCATTTTAAAAAAAAAAAAAAAAAAAAGGTCACAAGTAGCAAAATTCAAAAGTTGCACTGGTCTTTCAAATCTGCCAACCATCCTGACAAGTATAATTTCTAGAGAAGAGAAAGATCCAAGAAAAAGTAGAAGATCCATTTATGGTTAGGTTGGAAGATAGAAGTGGTTCCTTACAAACTATTTGCTTGTTTATTAATTAAATAAATAAATTAATAAACAAGCAGAATAACCTGATTGGCTGACAAGCAGTGCTGTCTGCAAGATTCATTTTGAACTGAATTTCTTTTCATTAATAGCTCAAGTTAGCCAGCCGTATTTTAAACTGCAACCCAAAATATCACAAGTAACAAAATTTAAGAATGTTGCCCAATCTGGTAAACATGGTCAAAAATTAATCACTGAAAATATTTCAGCCATTACTTATTTAAACTGAAATTACTTGTGATTATGAAATAAAAAGAAAAACATTTACTAACATTTTCAGTAACTTACAATATCATTTATTAGAACGTTTATAATAGTGTTTAACTTACAGATATTTTGAGACACTGTGTAGAGATTATATTGATTGAACGCACACACAAACACCTATATATAAGCCGGTATCAATAAGTCCGTAATGAGATATGTAACTAGGAACAGAATTTTTATTTAAAATTTTCAATGGATCATGTTATCTATCATTGAATTTAGCACATCAACAAGAAAATAAATTTTTCTTGAGCAAAAGATTTTTTCATTATTAGCCTACAGACGTTTTGAGTTAGTTGTACAGATGAAAATGTAATATAAAAAAAAAAATTCTTTAGATGGGAGGTGCAAGTTCATGCCTTATCAGTAGCTACCTTTATATTTTCGTATAGTTTGTTTGAGCATTTAACAACCGAATGGAATAAACAGAAAATGTCGTGAAAAAAGCCGGAAACGAATAATAATAATAACAAGACGGAAACGAATAATAATAATAATTGGGAGTGTGTAGGTGGTAGTGCTGCTTGGAACATATCATGTGCAAAGAAAAGCGTAATCTTTGTATTTTAAACACCAACTGCTTCTGAATATGGTATATTTAGACAAGGTTTGGGCTTTTATTCTCACTGTTCCCTGACTTAACCACTATTCCTCCCCATTTATTTAGCTTTAATCATTTTCTGTGCTAACCAACTAAATATTGCTAGGGTTAGGAGAAGAATTTTTTTTAATTAAAAAATAAAATTTTTCAATTTTTAACCTAAAGTTTGAGCAAATTTTAACACAAAATGTGTGCATGATTTTTTTTTTTTTCCTTGGGAGTGTCAGTGGTTAGAAATGCATGCAAGTGTTATTTGTTGAGCTTTCATACATACAATAATCTTTTTAGTATTATTGACACTAGTTTGCTTATACTTTTCAGAAAAGTTGCAACAGAACTTACAATTTTAGCATAAATATAATAAGAATATATAATCATAAAATGTACAACTGATCAAAAATTATTTAAATATGTTTAAAACCAAGACATTTTCAATACTTCACTTGTTAAAATATCAATGTTAATTACATAATGTCACCCATCTTTTGACATTTGCATTCATTTTATTCTCCACGCTCACTGCTATGACTAATACATGCTTTTCGACAATTCTATTAAGGTTCTAGAGAATAATCATTGTTCTACGTTTAGTCTAGACATACACAGACACACAAAAGATACTGACCTTCTTCAAAAGGTTTCAAATCAACTTTTAACTTGAGGTATGGCTCAGATGCACACTGGCAGGCTGCATCCATATCCCAGTCGGACAGCATACTGAGGTAAATTTCCTGGCCATCAGAAGTTTTGGCTAAGTAACTGATTGTGAAATCACTGAAAAACAATTTTAAATTCATTAAAATTGCATGCAACTTTAAAATTCAGAAAATCCATGAAAATATTAGCAGATAATTTTACAGAAACAAAGTAATTCCAAAAAAAAAAAAAAAAGTTGAAATATTTGATTAATAAATCGATAATTTAGTTTTTGATGTTTATTTAGCTCCTCTTCAAAAGAAAAAAAAAATTTTTGGCGTGATTCACAAAAAAAAAAGAAAAAGAAAAAAAAGCCAATGTTAACAATTAATATACAACAGAAACTTAACAACTTAAATGATTGATCAATTATGAAGTTTACTGTCAATGATGATATTAAAAAAAAAAACATTAAAATTTCTCATTTTGTAAATATAAAAAAAGGATACAAGATAAAGAGAAAAGTGTTAAATCATAAGATTATTTTAGTAGAATGATTGTCTACAATAAAAAAAAATCATTAAAATATCAGCAAAAAACAAGTTCTGGCTATTTTATGATTTTAGAAATAAATGAATTTTTTTTTCATTAATTTTTAAATGAAGAAATTCCATGAAAGGATGACAGATTTATATTTGTGTGTGTGTCAATGCCTGAAATTTGAATGTTAAGATAATTAATGTTTCTTAATGATCGGATTATTTATTAAGGTATTCCAGCCTAAAAAAAATGCATAAATTACACAATTTTTAACTTAGTGTTGCATCCATAGATTGTATAATATAATAAAGTTTGAAAAAAATCTTCACCTACATATACAAATGCCCAGAGTGTGTGTGTTTGTAAGACAAAAACTTGTGTAGAAAAAAAAAATGTTTTAAGAAATTATTTATAAAATGGGTAATTGCAAAAATTTTTTCATATTAATTTTTCTTGTTTTACTAAAATCAAATCTAAAACAAGAATGTAACTAATCTTATTAAACTTAGTTTTTATATACATTTTTTGTCTGTAAAAAGTAAGTAATAAAAAGTTTGCTAAATAGGATATATATATATATATATATATATATATATATATATATAATGCTTCTTGATTCCTTGGGGAAATTAGGGCCACAACAACACCTCTCCAATAGACGTGTGTCTGGGCAATCCTCTTCAGTTCGGCCCATGTCATGCTGGCTGCCTTCACTTCTGCGTCAACATTTCTGCACCAAGTCTGTTTTGGTTGACCCACTTTTTGCTTCCCTTGTGCATTCCAGTCAAGGGCCTGCCTGGTGACACTAGAAGCAGGTACGCAAAGTTTGTGATAAATAGGATAATCCCTCAAAACTTAATTTAAGTTTTGTATAAAAGGAAAGATAGTTTAAATATGATTAAGAGAATTTTCCATAGGCCAACCTGCCTACCACACTTGAGTACAATATATAATAAGTGACAATATATTTTTATACAATTATAATAATAATATACAATCTATAATAAGTAACAGCGATATTGAGAAACCTTTACTTTTTGTTATGAAAGAATAATATCTCAAGTAGTTGTACCATTGCCTCATAGGAGTTTTATTACTGAAGATGTTTTGGATATGTCTAAAACTTGCTATTAATAAAAGAGGTCTAAAATCCAATATAAAACAGTTTAAAAATCAATTTTGTAGGTAAAGTTTTATACAAGACACTTAGATATAGTAGAATACACAAGTTTTTTTTTCCTTTTATAGAAAAACACAATTCTTAAATAGTTTAAAAAGGTTTTAAAAAGGTAGCAGCATCTTCAATGAATGTAAACACCTGCCCAAATATAAAGCACATTAGTTTAAAGCTTTACAAAACATTTCTAAAACACTTATTTAGCAAATATACAATTCAAAGGATTTAGATTGTAGGATAGGCTTATGGGTACCAACATCCATTCAAACTTATCAAATAAAAGGGATTTTATAGTAACAAATCTGTTATACAATCTTATATGCTGTTTTTTAATGTAACTTTCTCAGAGAACAAGCAAGGGGGTTAGAAATTAATTTATCTTTCTACTTACCACTTTCAGTATGTGAGAGTTGAAACAAATTGTATTTGTAGAAGATATGACAATAAGTTATAACCACTTGACTAATAAAGAGAACATTAGACAGGTAATAGCAGCAGAAGTATGTAAAAGTCACAGTTGAATAAATAAGACCTAAATAGTGCTTAACAATATAAATAAAGAAAAAGTAGATCTAATTTAGAAGCAGCAGTAGTATCTAAATAATAAAATAAATTCAAAAGAAGTTTAAAATATCCTTTCAAAAGATTACTATCTTAAGAAATCATTCAAGATGATGGTTACCTAAAATGGCATCAGAAATAAAAAGTATAAATGAAATGTTTTATTTTTATATATGAGCATATGGTTAGAATATTCCCTTTCTAAGCCTGAGACCCAGTTTCAATTCTCACCATGGTCAATTTGATGTTATTGTTCTGGGGGAGGCAATCCAAGTGTGCAGCACCTTTGAAAAATGCCTTAAAACCATACGCCACAGGTTGATGCAAGCGTTGTGAGTGAATTTAGGTAGACAAAACTGTTTCAAAGTTGTTGATGGTTGTGCTAGCACAAAGTCACAAGTCATCATGACCGAGTGTTCTGTGTGTCCAAACTGCTGATCATGACTCTCTCCCAGAAACTGTAATTAGTGTCCACTCAGCATAGTTGCAGTATGAGCCACATATGTGTTCTGTGGGTGTTGAACAAACACAAATGTGCCTGAGCAGGTCTCAAAAGGGATTAGCTAGCAGGTAAGTGTGCTTGGAAAACAAGTAGCCAGCCACACACACACATATATATATATATGTGTGTGTGTATAAATAATTCATATATTTATAAATCAATATCTAAATATTTATATATATATATATATATATATATATATATATATATATATATATATATATATATATATATATTTAAGGTGTGCTATATTTATGGGATAAAGTGCTCAATATCAGAGATAGAGCGTGTGTAAATATATATATATATATATATATATATAAATACACACACGTTTTATAGAATACTTTTTCAAATGTCACAAGTAAAAAGAATTCAAACTAATTCTCATAAATTTTGATAAAAATATAAATGAACCGATAGAAAATGTAACAATTATAAAGAATTATTGTCAATTCAATTTTGTGATGAATTTAAAAAAAACTGACATTTTAAAGTAAAATAAAACCAGTTTATAATAGATACTAGCAATACTGAATATGGAGACTGTTAGATGGAAAGCTTTGTAAAGAACTGAACTACTAGTTCAAAAGTTACTATTTATATTAGATATCAAAAAACACGTACACAAAACATTGTTAGGTACTTGAGAATAGCAACTGGTTAGATATTCTATATTATTTTTGTAGAAAGAATAGAAAAAGAATTTCATTAGTGGTAATGATTTTTAGTTTAACTGATCAAAATACAACAGAATATTATTCATTTTTTGGTTAGTATTTCTTATTTTCTCTGGTTGTCTTTATATGCTTTTAGTATTTATTTCTGATCTGTATTGCTTACTAAAAACTCACAAAATGATGGTCTGAAAGTTGTAATAAAAAGCAACTGAAATTAAGATACAAATAATAAAAACTGAGAACTCAAATAAAATTAGTACCATATCTAATAGCGTATATATAGACACAATATCAGGCGGTCAAGGAAGAGGAGAAACAACTATAGGATTAGATGTTAATAACGGCAACACGGTCCCATAGTCTAATTGGTAAGGCAGCTGTCACATTATGACAGGAGTTCAAGTCTCATCAAAGGTTTATTCTATATTTTCAAATCACATGGCATACTAATGGCTGCCAAAGACGGTGAGTAATTGCAATGAAAAGCAACTGAAATTAAGATGGAAGCAATGAATAACTGAAAAATTAATAATTGAAATGCTTAAACACGTAGAATATGGCAATAGTTATAGACTGAATAATAGTTGTAGTAACTGTTTTGTTCAGTCTAATTTCTTTTCTTTTTAGACACTTTGGCTACATACACTCAATCATTCATTAAGTGTCTGATGTTCCAGAGTGTTGATGAATCTGGTTCTGTGAATGCTACACATATATAGCTGTGTGTATTTTTTTTCATGTTATTTTTTGTGAGTGTGTTGGGGATGGCATTATTACTGATCTTGTAACCACTCTGAGTTTTGTACACGCTAATGCTATAATATCTCTGAGTCCCAAGTTTAGTGTCTGGTACTTCATTGTTAAATGGTATCTACATATTCCTAAAATCCATACTTGATTTGCTTATTAAACCATTCAAGTGGAGAATGTGGACCAATTATTTCAGTCTTTAAGAACATTTCTGAACACAAAAGACAAAGAAGAGAGAAGTATACAAAGATGCAGAATTTTATTTAGTGTAAGTAGAGCAAAAAGACAAATTTAAAGATTCATGGTTGGTTGGAGATTATACTGGGTGCAGCATACTGTTGCAAAATTTCAAATGAATTCCACTTCTAAATTTTTGGTCATTTTACATTGTTGTATGACTTTTTTCTTTTTTTTAAAGTGTTTTAGTATTTACTGCCAACAATATCTATAGAAATTAAAAGAAAGTATATAACTGAGCAACATGAAAACAGAAGGACTTCACCTGAGATTTTTAAAGTTGGAAAACAACTTGGAATCAATAGAATATTTATCAAAAGGACAATCTATCAATATAAGATTTCCTCCATCAAAGATAGCCGGAGACCAAGACGATCTTTCACATGCAAATGCCAAAACTCATTAAACATGTGCGTGAAAAAAAAATCAGGCATAATCCAAGAAAATCAATGAGAAAATTGGTTAAGGAGGCTGGAACATTGGAGAGAACCATGTGAAGGTTATGTCAAAATGTGCTAGTGATGTCATCTCTACAAGATAACCAAGGCAGCTTCTTTCAGCAGCCACAATGAAAAAGAGACTTCCAAAAAGTAAGCAGTTGCTAAAATTGATTCATGATGGTGAACTGCAAAA